TTAAAGTCCCCCACTATTATTGCGTTACTGTCGATTTCCTCTTTCATAGCTGTTAGCAGTTGCCTTATGTATTGAGGTGCTCCTATGTTGGGTGCATATATATTTATAATTGTTATATCTTCTTCTTGGATTGATCCCTTGATCATTATATAGTGTCCTTCCTTGTCTCTTGTAACATTCTTTATTTTAAAGTTGATTTTATCTGATATAAATATTGTTATTCCAGCTTTCTTTTGATTTCCATTTCCATGGAATATCTCTTTCCATCCCCTCACTGTCCATCTGTATGTGTCCCTAGGTCTGAAGTGGGTCTCTTGTGGACGGCATATTTATGGGTCTTGTTTTGTATCCATTCAGCGAGCCTGTGTCATTTGGTTGGAGCGTTTAATCCATTCACGTTTAAGGTAATTATCTATATGTATGTTCCTATTACCATTTTCTTAATTGTTTTGGGTTTGTTTTTGTAGGTCCTTTTCTTCTCTTGTGTTTCCCACTTAGAGAAGTTCCTTTAGCATTTGTTGTAGAGCTGGTTTGGTGGTGCTGAATTCTCTTAGCTTTTGCTTGTCTATAAAGCTTTTGATTTCTCCATCAAATCTGAATGAGATCCCTGCTGGGTAGAGTAATCTTGGTTTTAGGTTCCTCCCTTTCATCACTTTAAGTATATCATGCCACTCCCTTCTGGCTTGTAGAGTTTCTGCTGAGAAATCAGCTGTTGACCTTATGGGAGTTCCCTTGTATGTTATTTGTTGTGTTTCCCTTGCTGCTTTTAATAATTTTTCTTTGTCTTTAATTTTTGCCAATTTGATTACTATGTGTCTCGGCGTGTTTCTCCTTGGGTTTCTCCTGCCTGGGACTCTGTGCTTCCTGGACTTGGGTGGCTCTTTCCTTTCCCATGTTAGGGAAGTTTTCAACTATAATCTCTTCAAATATTTTCTCTTGTCCTTTCTCTTTCTCTTCTCCTTCTGGGACCCCTATAATGCGAATGTTGTTGTGTTTAATGTTGTCCCAGAGGTCTCTTGGGCTGTCTTCATTTCTTTTCATTCTTTTTTCTTTACCCTGTTCTGCAGCAGTGAATTCCACCATTTTGTCTTCCAGGTTCCTTATCTGTTTTTCTGTCTCAGTTATTCTGCTATTGATTCATTCTAGTGTATTCTTCATTTCAGTTACTGTATTGTTCATCTCTGTTTGTTTGTTCTTTAATTCTTCTAGGTCTTTGTTAAACATTTCTTGCATCTTCTCAATCTTTGCCTCCATTCTTTCTCCAAGCTCCTGGCGCATCTTCACTATCATTATTGTGAATTCTTTTTCTGGAAGCTTGCCTATCTCCACTTCATTTAGTTTTTTTTCTGGGGTTTTAGCTTGTTCCTTCATCTGGTACATAGCCCTCTGCCTTTTCATCTTGTCTCTCTTTCTGTGAATGTGGTTTTTGTTCCACAGGCTGCAGGATTGTAGTTCTTGCTTCTGCTGTCTGCCCTCTGGTGGTTGAGGCTATCTAAGAGGCTTGTGCAAGTTTCCTGATGGCTGGGACTGGTGGTGGGTAGAGCTGGCTGTTGCTCTGGTGGGCAGAGCTCAGTAAAACTTTAATCCACTTGTCTGCGATGGGTGGTGCTGGGTTCCCTCCCTGTTGGTTGTTTGGCCTGAGGCGACCCAACACTGGAGCCTACCTGGCTCTCTGGTGGGACCAATGGTGGACTCTGGGAGGTTCTCACACCAAGGATTATTTCCCAGAACTTCTGCTGCCAGTGTCCTTGTCCTCACCGTGAGACACAGCCACCCCCTGCCTCTGCAGGAGACCCTCCAACACTAGCAGGTAGGTCTGACTCACTCTCCCCTGGGGTCACTGCTCTTTCCCTTCCCCTGGGTCCCGATGCACACACTACTTTGTGTGTGCCCTCCAAGAGTGGAGTCTCTGTTTCCCCCAGTCCTGTTGAAGTCCTGCAATCAAATCCCACTAGCCTTCAAAGTCTGATTCTCTAGGAATTCCTCCTCCCGTTGCCAGACTTGCAGGTTGGGAAGCCTGACGGGAGGCTCAGAACCTTCACTCCAGTGGGTGGACTTCTGTGGTATAAGTGTTCTCCAGTTTGTGAGTCACCCACCCAGCAGTTAAGGGATTTGATTTTATTGTGATTGTGCCCCTCCTACCGTCTCACTGTGCCTTCTCCTTTGTCTTTGGATGTGGGGTACCTTTTTTGGTGAGTTGCAGTGTCTTCCTGTCGGTGATTGTTCAGCAGTTAGTTGTGATTCAGGTGCTCTTGGAAGAGGGAATGAGAGCACGTTCTTCTACTCTGCCATCTTGAACCAATGTCAATATTTAAATTTTGAATAAATTTTTTCAAAGGGAAAGAAGGAAGGAACTCAATCTATACTAAGTGATAAAAAGCAATTTAAAATATTTAATCCAAGTGAAAGGACATGATTAACATAATTCTAAATCAAGCCAGCAAAGAAAGAATTTATATACCTATAGATACATATCATATACATATATCTAATTGATATACATATATGAATTCCTAATATATGTCTCCTATAATTAAATATGATATTGGCATATATGTATATTTACATGAATTGTGGAGATTACATGAAATATTTTTATGTCTTTGATTACCAAAAGCAGTGGTAGACATAAAACAGGCAAGAATGATAGTTTAAAATGACCTGGGCTTCATTTGTGGGCTAGCACCAAATCAGGGAATGACCTTAAGGAAGTTATAAACTCTTTGGACTTAAGTTTTTCCCATTTTGAAAAAATTAGCACTCTAAACACATGCATATAAAAAGTATTCAATCACACAGGTGGCCTAAACATGCCAATATATATTTTAAAGTAATTGTGTCAACGCAGTGCTTTATTTAATTAGTAGAATCCAGCATGTTACCTCATTTTGAGAAATCAAATACATGCAAAATATGGCTATAAAAATTATAAATGGAGGAAAAGTCAAACTCCAGATTTGAGCCATATCTGCAAGCCAATTGTCACCAGCTGTGGCAGGGTGCAGAGATGCAAAGGGTGCCCGGACATTTTATCACCATGACCCAAGATCCCTCCACGTTGTCGTAAGGCAGGAAAACATGTGGCAGAAATGTGAGTAAGGACCCACTCAGCCTCTGTGCTTATGTGTGTTGTGGCAGACTAGAAATTTCTGACTTGCTTATAACTCCCAACAAATTAACTTTCCCACAGAGGCAGTTTTTAAAGAGGTGACTAGATTTCTATCGTACTGATTACAAAGCACCACGCCTCACGGGGCACGGGCACAGTGAAGCACTGGAGCAACCAGAAGTCAGAAAACAGAAAACAGTCACAAAGAACGGGACCAAGATGAAAATTAAGTAACAGCGATGACAATAGAGAACTCAGCCGTGGCAACGGCGCGGCGGCCGTTCTGCTGGATTTGTTGGCAAATGGTGTCCATTTTCCACAAGGAAACCCCTCGCTTCCCCGAGAGCCTTCTGCAGGGGAGGGTGTGCACATCTATGCAGAGTTTTAGTTTTCTTACAGGTAAAACCTAAACTCAGAAACTAGCCAGACGGGCTACAGTTTCGCTACAAACCCAAAATCACAGGGCTCTGGTGTGGCAAATTAGACCATGTGAGCAGATATTGCAGGGTGTGCTTCCTGGCTTCCTTCCACAGAACATTAGCCACTGCTGCAGATAAACAGTGCTGGGGGGCAGGCTTCCCCCAAGCCAGGCGTGACTAACGTTGGCAGAGCTGATTTCACAGCAGTAGCGTCTGCCCTGATCACCTATAGATTTTATGGCAGAGGCTCTGGTCCCAGAGATTCTGATTCAACATGGGTGTGGTAATGGTGGTAGAGAATAGGTGGGCAGGTATTTGTATTTTGTTTTATTTGGAAAGGTGGTTCAGTCCTGCATTCTCAGATGAGGACCACTGATGGACTAGAACGGAGAACAAGAGCCACTCAATGCCCTATCACGGCCCGAACAGGTGCCGGCTGCCTACTAGGTCTCCTGTTCTAAGTGCCATTCACATACCTTTTGCATCTGGTCCTCCTGATGGCCCTTTAGGGTCGGTCACATTATTATGTCTATGTTAAACATGAGAAAACAGAAGCACCGAGAGGGTAAGCCATAGGACCACGCCCACACAGCTAGCTCTGGGGTTTGAACCCTGCAGCCTGTAAAACTGCCGACATAGAGAAATTTGCTGACAAAAGGAATAGTCCATCCAAAAGAGACCAATTTTATGTTCCTCATTTAATAAATGCAGGGGAGAACATGTAACAAGCAGGCATCATTCTCTTCCCCTAGGAGGAAGCAGCAATGGCTTGCTACAAGGTATAAAAATGCCTCACGGTATATCTAAAAGTCCAAATTCCGTCTGGGACCAAAAATTGCCTTACCAGCTTAATACTATAAACTTCTAAGTCCATGCACACACAAAAAACGTCAAACCAGCCAAAGGAAATTTGTCCCCCCCCTTTTTATTACTCGTCTCCCACCTTCCTGAATATAATGACTCGGTTTTTCAGTCATGCAAAATATAGTAATAGAACCTAACAGCAACATTATGAATGTTAACCCACTACTATCAATGCGGCTTGTATGATGTGACGGCGCATTTTTATACTGACATTGCTTCATTTTATTAACCACCCTGCTATCATAAACACCGTGGCTGGGGAATATTTGCATTTTAAGTGATTTTCTATCAGTAAAAAAATTTTATTCCTTAAAAAAAACTGATAGGGTTGCAATCTCTGTACACAGAGCTGGCAGAAGAACTTGCCCCGAGCACATTCATTGCTTTGTGTGCAACTGAACCAACATAAATAAAATACATTTTTCAAAACTATTGCTCAGGTGCAAAATTTGTACTTAAAATGTAATCCATCCATACAGCCTGTCACCAAACTACTGTTCAGAAACAGACAAGGATAAGTCTGAGCTTTCAACAAATCATGAACTCACAACCATCCCACATGTCTCTTTTAATACACTATTTGGAGGTATAAAAATAACATTAAATACCTTTAACTACCAATTCTGCATAGTTGGATAGGCCAACTCCTCCATCGGTTCGAATCATGCAGCGGTATTTTCCAGCATCTCGTTTGGTTGTATTCATGACATTAAACGATGCTATGAATCGCCGGGAACTAGTCACCTTTATTTCCTTCAGAGGAGCATCCCGTACATCAATGCCCTGTAAACGTGGAGATGGGGAGAGCAGAAAGAAACAATATCAGCTGTCATATGCAACCAGGAAGACATCTGAAGGCACAGAATGGATGTCACTGATGTTACCTCCTTACAGATCTTGGTTCCACAGTTTATTACCCATGGCAGTTGTTCCAGGGAAACAGGTGCCCAGAAACTGAAATTCTGCCTCGATCAACACTTTCAGGATTTGAGGGATGCAAAATTAAGTGTTCAGAAATGTCTTTGGTTTTGCCCCTTTAAAATGTTCATTATGTTATTCTGCCTCAACAGGAGAGGAAAAAGCACACGGAAAAGTTCTTCATTTTGCTTCCAAACTATCAACATTTAGTCTTTCTGTAATACTTAATCATTTTCTTTTATACTTGGCTTGGAAACAAAATTAATTCGCACACTACCCTGTGACGGACCTCATTTTATACATGAACTGATAAACAACTTATCAAGAGCTACATTAACAATGTAAGTAGGTATTAGCATAAGCTCTGAAGGACGAGTCTCAGCTTTAGGATTTTCTTCCTGGAGCCATCAGAACCAAGCAGAAGTAGGTGCTTAATATTGCCTGACACTGAAATGCTAGGAGAGAAGTTCCTTTGCACATCCCACAGCCCAGGACCACACAAAGCACGTTCCAACACTGGAACAGTGCTGTCTTTACACTATCTCGTAGACATTAATTAAGTCATTAGTTACACACACTTGGAAATCCATTCTGTGCTCCCCACAGTTTAAAGCCTCAAGAAAGATTACAGATTTCAGTCCTATATATTCTTTTTCTTACAGTTATCAGGAAAGAGGCTATCTTTAACACGTTATTTGCAAGTACTAAGGAGAAAACAATGGGCAAAGACCTTAAGGCAAATGCACGACACCAAGCATTATGTCCAATTATTCACCCAGCAACCATGCTGGGTGCCATCGACGTGCTGTCACTGTGTTAGGACACTAGGCTCACAACAGTGGACAACAGAAAAGTGGCCCCAGTGTTCACAGTAGTGCTTCAGTTGCTGGGGAATATAGGCTTGAAATGGATACATGATCCCCAATGATGGCCAGGGCAGGTGGCTGGCAGAAGTCACAATGAGGCTGTCTTTAGATATGCTGCCGTGTTGAGGAGGTGACATTGGAGCTGAGATCTGGAGGGTAAGTAGAAACTGCCAGGCAAAGGGGAGGGTGGAAGAAAAGGAGTGGCCCGGTCAGAGGAGAGAGAACAAGAGGCCCGGGATGGTTAGAAAGAGCCGAAAGCTTTGGAGGACATCAAGGTGGCCAGTGGAGCTGGGAAGGTGGGCACGCACCTGTGCATTCAGGGACTTGCAGACCGTATGAAAATGTTTGTGTTTATAGGTATGAACACGCCAGGCTACCAATAATAAAACTCATCTGTAGAACTCAGTGATTTATATTATGCACAGCCTTTTAGAAGCTTTTGCTGTGATATTTTCTTTGTCAGTATGTCCTAACGGACATGAGTTTGGGAGTAGATGGACCAGGGTGCCAAACCTAACGTCAGAGTAATTTATGCTCCTGGGGCCCCCCTTTCCTCATCTGTAAGGGGACAATACAACTGTCAGGGCAGCTGTGAGAATTTAATGATATACACGCGCAAGGACACTTGCCTAATGATTGGGACCACAAGTCCCTGCCCGGATTCTGGACCAGCTGAGGGATGAGTTCAAGAAGAAAGGCGGACAGGCTGTCAAACACCTCGTTTAGTACCCGTGGACCTGGCCCTGCAGAATACGCAGAACACGGCCGATGCGTGGTAACCATCAGCTTGCTAGAACTGAAGCACGGAATTAGACTCACCCACCCAAGCCACGGGCCGCATTGCAAAACCACACCATCCCCGGGCCCCTACGTGGGGTGCTCCTGGGAAACTCGCAGGATGGAGGAAGGGCTGCTGTGGGGAGTGAGCTCCCAAAAAGAGGGGCTGGGCCGGGCGCGCTCCCGGCTTCCGGTCCAGCAGCCGCGTGGAAAGAGACAAGGCATCCCGGTGCTGCGCCAGTACAGTTCCTGTCACAGCGAAGGAAACGTCGGGGGCGCGGAAGAACAGTTCCCACCATCTTTAGTACTAGCTGTCAAAACAGCCTTGTTAATAGCTTAAAGAGTCATAGATCTGAATGTGACATTAAATATATACCTTATATATCCTATGTGAGTCTTTTTTATTACTAAATCGCCTCAATTTGGTCTGACAAAGGGCACTGAGAAGTTAAACAAAACAACATCAATCCAGCATTATTAATTAATACAACAGGAGAAAGTATTTCTCTCTGTATTTCATACATTGTCTCCCATCCTCTCCCCCAAATAAATATAATAAATAATTAAATTCTACCACTAGGAGTAACCTTAGACCTACTACTCTAAAAAATTAAGTTTGTCTTTTTCAGACTGAAAAAAAATCTAATCTCGTTTTGAAAAAAAAAAAAAAAAAAAAAAGCCCTGAAAAAAGGCATATTTCACATTTTAAGAAAGGCATACCATTTATGATTATTTGTTTTGTTTATTAACAATGACAGAAACAAAAGGGCTACCTACTTATTTATTTACTTACTTGTGGCATGAATCTTGTAAGAATATACTTCTATAGTCGTCTTGTAATATTTGTCCTAATGAAATAAGCCTGTCTCAAAAGAATGTTTATTCAGAAGAATTTTAAAGTATGCCCTTATGGATCCCTCACAAGTATTCAAGGCTGTACCGAGGGCAGTCAAGTTTAAGAAAACCTCTGTGTTGGATTCATATATATGTTGAGACGAGCTTTACTTCATAGCTGTTGACTTCATGCCACAAATTTATCCTTTAAAATAAACAGCTTCAAACTAACAGCTTTACAGAACTCCAATGAGTCACATGAACTCTCAGGAATGGGACTTTTTTTTAAGCCCATGTATTTAATCACACAGAAAGTTAGATTCAGCTTCTTCAAGACAAACAGTATATAGAAAGGAGAAAAGTGCTAGCTAGCAATCATTTTAGCTTAGAATCCATATGCTATCATAAATCTTGCTTCAATCTGCAGGTATTTTCTCTTACATCATTCACATGTACGTGGATCCAAGCATTCATTCAACCCACACTTAGTAAACATCTTTTATGAGGCAGGCACTCTACATACACAGGGAGCATGGGGTTAAGAGAACCATCCCTTACCTAATTGAATCCATAGTCTGGTTAGAAAAACAGACAGGTAAGGAACTAATTACACTACAGACCAAGGAACTGCCTGACACAGTAAACCCAGGAAAAAGAGCCTCCTCACCAGCGAGGCGGGTGAGGGTTGGCTTTCTAGAAAGCATGACTTGAGGCCAGAACTGGGGATGCACAGGACTTTCTCGGGCAGTGAAGGATGAAAAATGGAGCCAGTAAGTGAGAAGAGCTCTGTAAAAGTCAACAGCCAAGACAGCTGAACTGTGGGGAGGTTCCACTAGAACACAACGTGCTCCTGGAATGGCAGGTGATGAGGCTGGAATGGTAGAGCCCACAACCAGGAACAGGACCTGTGGAGGGTTACAGTTTATCCTGATGCCAGGAACACAAGGATTTTTGCCAAAGGGGTGACGTGAGCACATCTGTGGGTACAGTAATGGCCCAAAGCAAGGAGTGTGGGAGCCCAACTGATGTCAAGGAAACTGGCTGTATTTTCTGCAAAAATCATAGTAACACATGACAAAAGGAGGGATGAGAGACAGGAAGGGAGGGATTCTAAAGCTATTTAGGAAATATAATCTATAAAAGTGGGTTACCATATGATCTAGCAATCCCACTCCTGGGCATATACCTGGAGAAAACCATAATTTGAAAAGATACATGCTCCCCAATGATCATAGCAGCATTATATACAATAGCCAGGACATGGAAGCAACCTAAATGTCCATCAACAGACGAATGGATAAAGAAGATATGGTACATATATACAATGGAATACTACTCAGACATAAAAAAGGTAGAAATAATGCCATTTGCAGCAACATGGATGGACCTAGAGATTATCACACTAAGTGAAGCAAGTCAGACAGAGAAAGACAAATATCATATTACATCACTCATATGTGGAATCTAAAAAACAATACAAATGAACTTATTTATAAAACAAACAGACTCGTAGACACAGAAAACAAACTTATGGTTACTAAAGGGGAAAGGTCACGGGAGGGATAAATTAGGAGGTTGGGATTAACAAACACACACTACTATATATAAAATAGATAATCAACAAGGACCTACTGTATAGCACAGGGAACTCTACTCAATACTCTGTAAAAACCTATATGGGAAAAGAATCTGAAAAATAATGGATATATATACTGAATCACTTTGCTGTACACCTGAAACTAACACAACATTGTAAATCAACTATACCCTAATATAAAATACAAATTAAATAAAAAAGAAAGAAATTTTTTAAAAGTGGGTTACACTGCAGTACCATCTTTCTCTTCTAGTAGATTATAAGTTCCTCAAGGTCATGAAACAGATGTATTCATTTTGTGGACATGGGTGCACAGGGAATATAGCTCAATTAATATTTGCTGACTCTAGGAGTCATAGTCTCAGTGGAAAAAAGTTCCATAGGTAGGAAAGAAATGTGAGATTGTTATATTAACAGACTTATACCTGATCCTTACAACTGGACAGCGAATCTTTATTTACAAGGGATACCAACAGGGAAAAATAAAAGGATATTTTAGAGGATCTGTGTGCCCCTCTGTCAGCAACACTGCCCAGTCATTGTAATCGTGGTAGACAAAAGAGTGGTCCCCAAAGATGTCTATTCCCTGGTCACCAGAACCTGGGAGTTTGCAGATGAGATTAAAATAAGGATCTATGGTATAAATGGAGGTATTTTGTAAAATAACCTTGAAACTGTAATTTGACATGTGTTTGGTCAGGTTGTGTCACGTTTAATTTGTTTTTTTTCTATTCTCTTTTCATTTGAAAACTATGTTAGCAATAATTAATTCAATAATTACCACATTCTGC